AAACCTTCTCTCAATCTAAATAGACCAAATTTAAGATTATTTTTGTGTTACAGAGTGTGGATTAGTTCGATTTACGACCTTATTACCTCGAATCAACCCCTCCTGAAAAAGTATATTACAGACGGCCATTTTGCGTCTACAGTTAAGAGGGAGTAAAGTGTATTTTGAATGATTTGTCACAGCAGTTGACAGATGTGTATTTCGCACTGTTTTTGCAATATCGCAAGGTTTGCTAATATTTTGATTTCTGATATTTGCTTTCGGCTTCTATTACTTTTTTTTCATTCAACAAGTCACCCTTTTTGTGGATTATTCCTTCAAAATTGCAATGGTGGCATATGTGTTTGTCAATATAAAGAATCTTTGGGTATATTAAACTAATTCCTCGAATTGCAAGTAATGGAAAATAAAAAAGAGATGTTATCAAAACAAACCAAGAATATTTGACAAATATTCCCAAATGACATTCGATGTGAACTATAAATATTAAGATATTTTTTTCCTAGAATATTGGAATATATTTAAATATTTTAATGTCAATTAGCTCTTTTAGAAGGTATAAAGGGACATGAAATCTGATTTTTTTTTCAGTGTTAATCTCGATCGCTTCGACCGCTGAATAAGCCGTGGAATTTATCATCCGCTCTAGTGATCGACGCGATCTCAGCACTCATAACAGGCTTGTTTTTTCTTCTACGATCTCTTTTTAAAAAAATTTGTCTTGAAATATTTGGCTGGTTTTCTACAGTCATTTCCTAACTTGATTCAAGTAGCAGGAACATTTGCCTTTCAGAAGGACTAACCTTATCCCATTTTCAAGGTAAAGTATAAATTTAGTTTCGTTTTCAATAATAGGGTGTCTGATTAACTGTATGATGATTGTGCAAGCAAGCCACAGACGAGAAGTGGTATTTTATTATTTGCGTACAGGTTTGAAGTGATTGGTCTCAAAAATATAGGGAGTTCAGTGATTGCGGGTAGAGTGAATTCAATAAGTATGTAAGCATTTGAGGATGGATCGCGAAAACGCAATTGGTAACCAAAACTAGCCTTTTCCAGATTTAATTTCTACCTACGAAGCTCTTGCAGAAAGCATAATTCGTATGAATGATCCGCTTACTTAAAGGTAAATTGCTAAAAATTCTAAATACCCAAAGGTCTAGGATAACGCCCCAAAATTACTGATAATTGAACAGCCTTAGTGGCTTTCGCGTTTTCTTCAGTTTGAACTCAGAACGCTCAACTGAAAAACACCATTTGCTATCGGCAGGTTTTAGAAAGACCTCATGGGCTCGTATGCTAAATATATTCGTTTTAATAAATTATACAGCTGCTTCTTTTTCACCCAACTCAGCACAAGATTGCGTCTTTTGGACTTTGAACTCACCGTAAGAGTGGCTCTTTAATAGATTTTCTGCTTAAAACTTATTGGGAGACCTTGCTTGAAAAAATACTCTCCTCAGTTTAAGTTAGATGATAGATATTACATTGCGTATGAAAAGANTAATGTTAATTAGCTCTTTTAGGAGGTATAAAGGGACATGAAATCTGGTTTTTTTTTCAGTGTTAACCTCGATCGCTTCGACCGCTGAATAAGCCGTGGAATTTATCATTCGCTCTAGTGATCGACGCGATCGCAGCACTCATAACAGGCTTGTTTTTTCTTCTACGATCTCTTTTTTAAAAAATTTGTCTTGAAACATTTGGCTGGTTTCTTACAGTCATTTCCTAACTTGATTCAAGTAGCAGGAACATTTGCCTTTCAGAAGGACTAACCTTATCCCATTTTCAAGGTAAAGTAGAAATTTAGTTTCGTCTTCAATAATAGGGTATCTGATTAACTGTATGATGATTGTGCAAGCAAGCCACAGACGAGAGGTGGTATTTTATTATTTGCGTACAGGTTTGAAGTGATTGGTCTCAAAAATATAGGGAGTTCACTGATTGCGGGTAGAGTAAGTATGTAAGCGTTTGAGGGTGGATCGCGAAAACGCAATTTGTAACCAAAACTAGCTTTTTCCAGATATAATTTCTACCTATGAAGCTCTTGCAGAGAGCATAATTCGTATGAATGATCTGCTTACTTAAAGGTAAATGGCTAAAAATTCTAAATACCCAAAGGTCTAGGATAACACCCCAAAATTACTGCTAATTGAACAGCCTTAGTGGCTTTCGCGTTTTCTTCAGTTTCAACTCAGAACGCTCAACTGAAAAACACCATTTGCTATCGGCAGGTTTTAGAAAGACCTCATGGGCTGGTATGCTAAATATATTCGTTTTAATAAATTATACAGCTGCTTCTTTTTCACCAAAGTCAGCACAAGATTGCGTCTTTTAGATTTTGAACTCACCGTAAGAGTGGTCCTTTAAAAGATTTTCTGCTTAAAACTTATTGGAAGACCTTGCTTGAAAAAATACTCTCCTCAGTTTAAGTTAGATGATAGATATTACATTGCGTATGAAAAGAAATGGGTAGCAATCCTTCTCATCTTATAATTACATAACTATATTTTAATACAACCTGCTCGGCTCTTCAAGTTAAAATAGAGCTATTTCCTTCTTTCTCGTTCGTCTTGTTACTGAGCAATGTTTCTTGTTTAAATTGTGATGAACACAGTCGTATGTTTATAACTCAGATATTTTTTTCGTTGGTAAACTACCTTCGTTGGTTGCCTCACTCTTTCCAATGAATTAAAGTAAAAACGTGCACATGCTCCCTCACGTGCGAGGATGGTCACCGAACTGTATCTTAAGACAA